CAGAGTACCACTGTTTCTTGATCATATTGCTACCTATTGAAATGGTTGAACATTGGCCAGTTCTTTTTGGCACAGTGACTCTATATTCCTTCCATCTTCTTTTGATGCTTTCTACATCATTCAATATTTTGCCCTTGTTATTGTTGTTACGTGCCATCGAGTTGGTACCGACCCATAGCAACCTCATGCACACCAGAATGAAACACTAACCGATCCTGGGCCAACCTCACTTCTGTTGCCATGCTTGAGTCTACTGATGCTGCCACTTGGCCAATCCATCTCGTAAGGGGTATTCCTCTTTTTCTCTGACCCTCCACCTTACTAAACATGATATCCTTCTCTGGTCCCTCCTGACAGTATGTCCGAAGTATGAGAGATGAAGTTTGGCCATCCTGGCCTCCGAGGAGCACTCTGGCTGCACTTCTTGCAAAACAGATCTATTGGGTCTTTTGGCAACCCATGGCACTTTCAATATTTTCCTCCAACACCCTAACTCAAAAGCATTAATTCTTCTACAGTCTTCCATATTCACTGTCCAGCTTTCGCATGCATATGAAGTTATTAAAAATACCATGGCTTGGGTCAGGCACACATTAGTCCTCAAGCTGACGTCTTTGCTCTTCAACACTTTAAAAAGATCTTGTGCAGCAGATTTGCCTAATGCAATACATCGTTTGATCTCTTGACTGCTGCTTCTGTGAGTGTTGATAGATGATCAAAGAAGACTGAAGTCCTTGACAATTTCATTCTTTGCTCTGTTGATAAGAATGTTGTTTATTGGTCCAGTTGTGAGGATTTTTGTTTTCTTTACATTGAGATGTAATTCATACCAAAGACTGTGCTTTTTGATCTTCATCAGTATATGTTTTAAGTCCTCTTCACTTTCAGCAAGCAAGCTTGTACCATCTGCATATCGCGGGTTGTTGATGAGTCTTCCTCCAATCCTGATTGCCACGTTTTTCTTCATAGAACCCAGCTTCTGGGATTATTTTACTCAGCGAACAGGTTAAATAAGTATGGTGAAAGAATAAAACCTTGTCGCACACCTTTCTTAATTTTAAAACATTCAGTGTTCCCATGTTCTGTTCGAACAACTACTTCTTAATCCAGGTACAGATTCCTCATGAACACAATTAAGTGTTCCGGAATACTCATACTTCACAATGTTGTCCATAGCTTGTCATGACCCACACAATCAAAAGCCTTTGCGTAGTCAATACAGCACAGGTAAACATCTTCCTGATATTCTCTGCTTTCAACTAAGATCCATCAGATATCAGCAATGATATCCCTCGTTCTGCGGCCTCTTCTGAATCCAGCTTAAACATCTGGAAGTTCTCTGTCAATGTACGCTTGCAGCCATTTCTGTATTACCTTTAGTAAAAGGTTACTCGCATGGGATATCAAAGAGATTGTCTGATGATTTCTGCATTCCGTAGGCACAACTACAGATCTCTTCCAATCAGTCAGCCAGATAGTTTTCTTCCAAATTTCTTGCCAGAGATGAGTATATGCCTCCTGTGCCACCTCACTTTCTTGAAAGATTTCAATTTTTTATCCATCAATTCCTGGTGCCTTGTTCTTTGCCAATTCCTTCAATGCACCTTGGACTTCCTCCTTCAGTATCATTGGATCTTGATCATAGGCTACCTCTTGAAATGATTGAATATCAACCATTTCCTTTTGGTACAGTGACTCTGTGTATCCCTTCCATCTTCTTTTGATTCTTTCTGCATCATTCAATAATTTGCCCAGAGAATCTTTCAATAACAAAAGTAGAGGCTTGAATTTTTTCTTCTGTTCCTCCAGCTTGAGAAATGCTGATTGTGTTCTTCCTTTTTGGTTTTCTGACTCCAGATCTTTGCACATTTTGTTGTAATATATGGCTTTATCTTCTCTAGCTGATCTTTGAAATTTTCTGTTCAAAGTTTCAGTGTCTCTTCTGACATCCATTTTGAACTTTTCCTTCTTTCTTGTCTTCTCAATGACTTTATGTTTTCTTCATGTATGATTTTCTTGATGTCATTCCACAAGTCTTCTGGTCTTCAGTCTATAGTGTTTAATGTATCAAATCTGTTCTTCAGAT